TTTTTTCCCCGCCGGGGACGTAGTAGTAGTAGTAGTAGTAGTAGTAGTAGTAGGAGGAGGAATATAAGAGGACCCTAGTATAGTTGCTATTACCCTTATAGCCACTATTTCAGCGTGTGCGGTCGACTTAGGGCGTGCATCTATGTTCCAAGAACAGCATCTCTTGCCTTGGTTGTGTTGAAATATTCGCGATCATATTATGGGGACTTTGTTGGGGTCCCTCTACTGAGGATTATCTTATTTGGGGGTCTATACTGCGGTCCCGCTATTTTGGGAAACTGCCATATTTCTGGAATACTAGGGCCCCCTTGCAAACCTGCAGTTGGCAAGACCGGACACATGCATTTGTTCAAACGTCCCCTCGTGCAACGATGTGCGACGATGCCAGGCCAACAACTCGCGCGACCCTGAGCTGAACGGCTATGCTTTTGGATACGTTGGGGCTGACTCACCTAACATCTCCTCACTTGCGACAACATCGGATACGGCCCATCAAAGGTTGATCAGTTACAAATGCAGCTGCCTTCAGAAACTGCTTGAAACCCAAACGTATGTAGAATGACGGCCCTTTAGGCTGTTTTTAGTGATTTTGGGCTATTATGTTACCTACTTCTGGGGCCCAGGTAAGTAATCAAGGGTCATGACTTCGCATCTGCAACCCCTTGGTACTTGGAGACTAGCAAGTGGGTTAATCATGGAGATAACTAGGGCTACTATATGGGTTACAGGGGTTATTAACCTACTCACTAAGTTTCCTGACCTTCCAGGTAGCATCAAAATCTCTAAGCCTCGGCGGTCGGCGGTTCAAGGCTGCTAAAGTCGCCGAGTTTCAAGCACCACCAAGCCCTTGGAATGCTTTTTGTGCTTATGATTGCTATCATTACTATCATTCCTACTGTTACTATGAATATTATTTCTGGTATTACTATTGACATTGTTATTAATATTACTAGTAAGATGTCCTAAAGCCCAGGTCAGGCAACCAGCGTCGACTGATTGGGCCCAGGTTCCTTTTGCGGAAATGGAGTCGAAGAACAAGTTGCAAACTTGGGGTCCATTTGGGACCTTCCCCAAATTAGGGGTACCCTCTTTGGGGGCCCCCATAATAAGGATTATAGTAAATTGGGGTCTATATTGGGGTCCAATTGGGACCTTCCCCAAATTAGGGGTACTATTCTAGAGGTCCCAATAGTAAGGACCATAGTATATATTGGGGTCCCCTTGTTTTGGGAAACTACAATTTCTTGTATGGGTGTTGACTTTTGCTGCAGGGATGCTGGTTATTGTCAGCTGGGCCACAACATTCCAGAGACAAGGGGAGTCTGGGGGCTTCCTGGCAGAGCAGTAGCAAGAGCTGTGATAGAAGTCAAAGCAATGGTGGCTGCGGTAGAGTACAAGAGCAGTACTACAATGGCCTGTACTATCGCCAACGCCACCATCATCAATACCTTCCTGAAGTATCATCTTGACCATCATCATCTTCGTCATCGTCCTCATCTTCCTGATCATTCTCATCTTGATCCGATCCATAGAAACATCCACATCCTTATTCTCGCCTTTCTCATATTCGTCCTATGGGCACATCCTCCTCTTTGTAGTTGTAGCATTGCAGATCATAAGCCCTAAGCGGCCCTAAACCATACGTATCAGCATTGCCAGGCAGGGACCAGCGGCTGAAAACGGCCAGCAGGACCGCTCTTTGGACCAGTGGGGCCAAAAGCCGGCAAGTTAGTTGGGGGGAGTTTTTGGATGTGCAGAAAAGATCTACAGTTGGAATCGGTTCTGCCCTTCCCTTCTAAGCACCACTAAATTCAGGGATATTGATACAGGAAGTTGCGGTCCTTGCTAGGAGGAACTCAGGGCCCATACTTTTGAAAACACGGCTGTGTCAGAGGGAGCTTATAACATTGAGCTCGGTGCCGTTGGGGTCAAAGCTGTCTTGGCTCCCGAATGGGTCATGCAGTCAGTAGATGGCATCCTGGACAAGGATCAGAAGCAAGGACATCAGATCGAATGTAGAGCACATCATGGCCTCAACAGATTTGCCTGTTGAGTCTTACATGTGCACACAGCCAACTACTCTGATGGCACGAAAGAAGGATGTGGGACCGCTGGAGATCAGGCGTGTCAAGCTGCATTCAGGATGCAAAGCTGTGGATTGCTCGCGGGAGCGGCACCCTGTGCTGTTTCTTGGGCAGTCAAATATGGGTGGTTGTCAAAATTATGGTCCCTTTTGGATCCCTATTCTAAAATAGAACCTAATACTTAGGGTACCCCAAAAAGGACCATAATTTTGACAACCACCCCAATATGTATTTTATTGTTGCCGTCGTACAGATTTGTGAGAAAACTAGCTTAGACCTAGAAACCTATGTATAACCCTAAACCCTAAATAGTACTTTCCCTTTTATTTCCAATATCCCAACGTAACCCCAATATACCCCCAATCCAAATACAAGTCAGGTTCTACAGCGAGCCTGGGCAGGAGCCTCACGGATTTCGCCATAAAGACTCTGAGGGATCCTTCTGGGATGTATAGGGGAGCTACAAAATGAGGTGGGGTTATTCAGGGGGATACTAGGCGTTTAGCGGGCCTACAGGGGGATATAGGGCATAATGGAGGATTGGAAAACAGAAGGGCAGATGACATGGAAACTGGGACTATAACATTCATCCCATGATCCATGAGCTGGAAACATTATTAGACATGCCAAGGTTGGGGCGCTGTTATGCATGACCCTAAACCCTTAAAACCTAAACCCGTTGGGCGCTGTTATACATCTCAAGCCAAGCTCATGGGCTTCTAGGGGGAAGGGGGAAGGAAGATGGTTGATTGGGACAAAGCAATTGGCAAAACTGAGCCTTTAACCCGAAATCTCCAACCCGAAATCCTAAGACTTAATCCCTATACACACGTGTAGAATCCCAGTTTACATTTCCTGTTTCGTTCTTTTTTCCATTTGATCCCCCATTGTCCCCTACATACCCCTGCAAGCCCACTATTACAAGTCCCTCAAAGCCCTGGAGCTGGGAAATTTAAAGCGACCTCACCTGACCTCACCCTAAATGGTGGCTTATATGGGGAATACCTGAACCCCGAAAGTATGTAGAATTATTGCCTTTTGGGCTATATTTAGGGGTTTTGGGCTATGATTTCACCTACTTTTGGGGTCCAGGTAGTACCAAAATGGCCTTAGATTGGGAATCGAAATTATTTCAAATTACCCCAATATGTACCCTATATAGCTCATTATAGTAGTTTCCATTCTCTTTTCCATTATCCCCATTGGGAATCGAAATTATTCTAAATTACCCTGCCTGGAGGGATCCTGAAAGGACCTCCTGGCAGCCTGGCCAGCGTGGAAGCGCTGGCGTCTAAAGGACGGCAGCCTGGGGCAGTTCTATGGAGATCAAGGCTTCCTGGCGTCAGGGGATTTTTCGGCTTCAGGGTGGTAGGGTTTAGGGGTTTAGGGTTTAGGGGTTTAGGGTTTAGGGGTTTAGGGGTTTAGGGTTTAGGGCATTTGTAGGTTTTAGGGGGATAGGGTATAGGGTAGTTTAGGGAAGGAATTGATTGATGTACCTCCCAAAAGTGGTCTTGTGCCAAGTGCTTTGGGTATCTTCTCTCTGGGTGCCTTCCCCAACCAGAAACGGAAGCCATGTCCCTTCAGGGAAGTGTATAGAGAAAGCATCCCATGTCATTTTCCATTTTCTTTTCCATGTGGTTCTCCATTATCAAGCTCTGATATTCACTTCCTCCTCCTCTGCGGTTGTGGTTGCCATCAGCATGGACGACTGAGGTTTTCTGGCTATCCACGCTCTGCCAGAGTCAGACAGCACAAGGCATGTTGAGGTTCCCTTGTCCAGCTACCTGGCCAACCTTGGCAAAGATCCCTACACATACATTTCTGAAATTCGCTTCCCGGGTCAGGGAGATGAGGAGGAAGCCGATGAGTCAAAGCAACAGCTCCTGGATGACGTGGCTGCACCGCTGCCGCGGCTGAGTTTGCCCCGCGATGGCGGTGCGTACTCCCACGTCCGACGTGAGAACCAGACACGACAGTCGGCAGAGGAGCATGAGATTTGTGGTGATCCATCTCACCAAAAGTGGTTGCCACTGTTTCGCTGGTTCCTTTGTGGCGGTGAAGGCTCTGGTCTCGGTTGCCACCAGGATCCCAACTCGACAATGTTTTGGAATGCTTGCATCGTTGGGAAGAAGAGATGGTGCATCTTCCCGCCCTCCACTCCTGAGTCGATGCTGGTCTCTCGCAGTATGGACAAACCCTGCATGCTACCTGGCTCCTGCCCTGAGACCGCAACGACTTCCGACTACCATCCGTCGGCTTCCGCCAAGGCATGGTTCGAGCAGGCGCATTTGCGAATAAGACATGTGGGGATTGTCCTAAATTACTGTCAATACGGGGTCCTATATTTAGGTTCCTATTATAATACGGGGCCCTATGGGAACAGTAATATAGGGAAACTTCCATGTGTGCAGCAACATTATCCCCTTTTTATTGCCTAGTGGCCGAGCAGGGATGTTGCCTGTGAGGAGTACCCGCGAGTCCGAGACTTGCACTGTGCAGCTCAGAATGCTGGTGTTGCTTCCGGGATAGGCATGATCGAGTTCATCCAGTCAGAGGGCGAAGTTGTTGTGTGCCCGGCAGGACAGGACCTTCTTCTTGCACATTATCATCCCTAGTTGGGAACGGGAGTCGGTTTTTCAGCAGGGATTGTTGTTGGGTTTTTCAGCCAAGCAAGCATGAGGCATGAGTAAGTCTGCTGTTCCAGTGCTACAAATTCGTGCTGGAATGGGAACTGAGCTGTCCTCCAGGCTTCACCCGCAACTCTCCCGCCTTGATGTTTTTGCTTGGTAAACCCTCACAGGGGTGATAGGGCAGGGCGGTCAGTTATACAGGTAGTGATCCACTCACCCACTAAGAGAGCTCCTGGTACCACACATGAGCTATAGTCCAAACTCCTAGTATCCCCCTTAATAACCCGGACAAGTTGTTTCCCTATATAACTCCCTATATAACCCTCTGTAAGAAGTTTAGACTATAGCTCACATGGGTCAGGTTGGTGGCACATCGTCCTTGTTTTGGAGCCTTCCGTCACCTTCACGGAGACTGGGTTGCTGTTAAGGAACTTAAATTAAGTTACCATATGGGTATATAGGGGTATGTAGGGTACGTAGGGTTTAGGATTACCATAATGGGCATATGTAGCAAGTAATAGTGTTTCCCCATTATAGTAACTTGAATTAAGTTCCTCAACAGCAACCCAGGAGAATTGGTTGGCTGACCGGGACATTGGCTCTGCTTTAGGGCTTCTGGAAGCCTCTCCCTGGCGCCATCAGGCCCATGTACTCCTCCTTTATGGGCATCTTAGGAACCCTATATACCCCTATACTCCCCCTATACTATAACTTATATCAGCCTATGTCCCACTTTAAAGGTACCCCTAATTTGGACTTTGGGGGAATATAGAAGGTACCCTGGTAATGCATCTTATGGTTTTTTGGGGGGGTCTTCATTGTAATCAGGCCAAGATCCTGTGGAACTCCCTACCCTGGCATCTACGAGTACGAGCCTTTTTCGGGCATACTCTCTTCAGGCTGCAGGCGGCTGCAAAGATTCTCCTGGAGAGGCGCGAGTTTGGGAGGTGACAGACGGTTTGCGCCTGCCGACTCTTACGAGTACTTCCTGGCAAGACATGGAGCGGGCACTCCGTCAGCGACGCTCGGCCTGTGGAACCTTGAGGGATGGGGATGTTGGGGAACAGGCAGCTGGCATGCGAGTTCATCTGACACCTCATATGCAGTCAACTGAGAATGGTCAAGGATGGCTCCCTTTGCAAGAACCAGCTTTCTGGATGGGCCTTGGTGCTGAAGTCTTATCACTCACCGGAGATGTAGGCTGACCGTGCGCAGATGCAGATCCCTGCGTACTGAGCAACTCCATGCTCCCGAGCTTGGCACACATCATGGCTTGCTGCAAGCGAACTTAAAATTGAGTTACTATATTAATGACACCTCGTTATTTACAACATACCCATACTCTGGTAACTAGATTTGAGTTCCTTGCCAGAAACCCAGCATCATGCAGATGCGCAGAGAAGAAATAGAAACTGACCAATTCTGTAGTTTCCCAATATAGGGGGACCCCAACATAGAAAAAATATACAATAGTCCTTTTTATAGGGACCCCCAGAAAGGTACCCCTAATTGTGGGAAACTCCCATATGTGTAAGATTCATTTTCAGCGGATCCCCTTGTTGCATGTCAACAAAACAGCAGCTGCCTTTGGGGGTTCAAGGTTTTCAACATCCCCGCACGTGCCCAAGACATAGGACCTATAGGCTCTAGGCTAGAAGATCCGAGAAGTGATAATCCTGCCCATCCGAAAACTTATAGTGAACTTCCCCACAATCCTGAGCCACCGACCCTGAATCCCGAAACTTGTTATATGAAGGCCTGGATGTTCGCCAGACCAGAGCTTTCCCATGTACTTATCACATTCTTATAATCCTTGCCTAGCTATGAGAGAAACAGTCCCCTAGACTGTATACCTGCATGAGACCTACATGGTAATTTCCCTAAAAAGGGGGACCCCAATATAGACCCCAAAATACTAGTCCTTATTATAGGGACTCCCAAAAAGGTACCCATGATTTTGGGAAACCTTAAACACTATAAACCCTAAACCCTATGCATCCCTATATAACCCCTATGTATCCCCCTATATAACCCCTACCCGTCATTTTGGGAAACCCCTACACCCAAACCCTAAACCGCTAAACCCCTAAACCCTAAACCCTTTATAACCCATTATAGTAGTTTCCATTTTCTTTTCCATTATCCCAATGAGAGCCCAAGCCCGTGCAGCCTCAGCAAGGACGAGGCAAAAGCCTGGCGCGAGTGGAAGCTGGCAGCGCAGGCTAGGGTTTAGGGTTTAGGGTTTAGGGTTGAAGGTTACCACAGCTTAGGGCTTAGGGCTTGTAGGATCTACTTAGTATAGGGTTTAGGGGTATAATATAGGGTTATGTAGGGATACTGGAAAAGAACATGGAGACTGCTATTTAGGTTTAGGGAGGGTGTAGGATCTATAGTGCAAGATTTAGCTTGGTTCGTTTGGGCTTAAGGGTTTTGAAATGGGGTTTGGAGTTCAGGTAGCCCAAAAAAGCAGGCTCCTCATTCTACGTACGCTTGTGATAGGCTTCTTTCGTGCCATGTAGTCTTGTCCTTGGGAAAAGTTTGGCGATAACTCCTAAGAAATAGAACTAGCACCACTAGCCATAATGGAGGCTTCGAGGTCTACATTTAGGGCTTTCAGGGTATTTATAAGGATGATTTGCTTGGAAGTACTGTTCACATGAAACGGAGGAGGGTGACCTCAGCAGAAGATTGCAATCCAAGACCATATCAGACAGATATTTGCACTTGTAAGAACAACCTGGGCGGACACTTGAACAGAAAAAGCACTTGCCGTAGTGGCACTGCCAGCATAAGTGCTGACAACAGCCATCATTGATGAGAGTCGAACCAGAAACGCTGTAAGAGGAAATTCCTCACCACCATACATGGTGCCTAAAGTAGCATTGACCTCAAGCTCATGGCAGGCGTCGGAATGAGCAGGGGTTGGTGACCATGTAGGCTTTTTCAAGCTGTGTTGCGTCTGTGTCATTCGCCCTCTGCTTATCTGCTTGGCTGCTTCAGGCTGTCATACAAGCGCTGGAACCCAAAGCCCAGCAACGCGTTCTGCGTTATGCCCATGGCTCAGCAGCAGTCAAGCTCAAGAGATGCACGGCGGTGATTTGTTTTGCTTGGTCTGGTATTTGAGGGAAGCAGCAGGCAATCCTGCCTTTCGTGTTGAGCTGCGCCATGTGTGGCCGTGACGCAGGTTTCGCTTTGTGTACAGAGAAGAACAGCGCTCGACAGCCGCGATGCCGGCGTCCCTGACTGGGAAGATGAAGAGAACCTCCAGCAGGTGGCTGCTTTCAAATTCTTGTGTTGCCATGCTGTCCTTGTGGTGCGTCAGCTGTGACATCACATGCATCTTGTTGCTTTGTAGGCAGGATGGCCTGTAGTAACCTTAGCAGGGGAGGGAAGTCAGCCGCAGCAACGTACTGGTGGCTATCAGGAAGCAAAGAACGGTTTGGGAAAATCTTAAAGTGGTAATTTATAGGCCATTCTGGAGAGCCAGTCCCAACTAACCACCAGTATAGGGCAAACGCACCTGCTTCGCAGGACTTTCCATCGCTTGGAGAAGCGCCGGCTGGGAGCTGACTTTAGGAGCATCTTAAGTGGGTATGCTCCAGTCCCCAAGTCAGAATGGTGAATAGAATTGCATTGAGGGTTGAGGGTCTTGGCTTTAGGGTTTCCGCTTTCCTCTTGGCTGTAACACTTTATCAGCAGGATTTGGTCCTACTTCGTTCCACCTCCCAAGAAGCACGACTCATCTGCAGCAGCTGTTTGATGGTCGCGCATGCCCATCACTGTGGAGATTTAAGCGCGGGTTCTTACCTTCTAGGTGGTCGTTTTGCTTGCTGAAAGATTCTTGTTTCAACCATCATGCTTCATTAGCCTTCTCTACTTCTGGTTTCCATTCATGTATGCGTGTTCTTTGTGTATTGATGCTCCATGGCAAGTCTTGAGGTACATTCCTCAAACCTGAACGCTTGTGTGTAACTACTCGGAGTATTAGTCCTTGAGGGTTGGTTCTCAGCTCTTCGCCACAGTAAGGTCCAGATTGCCGGCGCAGAAGTTAGTTCTCTGGCTCGCCATGCAAGAGGCTGGTGGGGTATAGGGTTTAGGATTTAGGGTTTCAGGTTGGGAAGTTCAGGGGTTGAATTTTAGAGGGTTCCGGGTCGCGCATCGGGGTGTAGAATGTGCGCGGCGTAGTTATTTTGCCCACGCCATGTTTTCAATGGGATGGAGGCGTTCCAGGGGCATTATATGGGTGAATCCGCTTTTGTTTGAGCTTCGGAATCATGAACTGATTTGCGGGCCTGAATGCCAGTTTCCTTTCTAGCTTCAATTTAAAACAGCTGAGGCTTATTCCTGCCAGGCCCCTCAACGGATTCGGAGGATCAGATGTTAACGGGACATGACAATTGTAATTACACACCGTGCGAAAGTATACTCGGGCGGGTAGGGATGGGACTTGAATTTTGAGACGCTCCAGAAGAAGTAGGTACATTCATAGTACGTGAGAAGTCTTGAAGCCAAATGTGCGAACAGATTAGATGATTAGACCCAGCAGCAGCAGAAAGAACATCTGCAGTAGAGCAATCACAGCAACGAAGCGCAACAACTAGTCTCGCTTCTGACCCCTTGCATCTGCTTGGCATGAACATTGTTACACAGAGACAGCAGGTAATGTTGGCGTATGAAATCTTCACCCAACTTGCGAAGCGCCGCCAAATTCGGGTTGTCCCAATTTATGTGTCCTGGGTTCCGCAATACTGCATGGGACTTTAGTTTTCATGTCCCTGAGCGAGGGTTAACGCAGGACTACACAAGGACAAACTGCGGGTTTACGTTTTGTTCGTCCCCTGGAAACCCTGCACTCCATGCCTACTTGCCCTCAGCATGTCGTGAAGGAATTTGCGCGGAAACCGAGCCAGATCTCAAATCCTAAGCCAGAGGCAGCAGGAAGCAGGCTCAAAGCTAAAGTCCAAGCCGTGAGACCTCAAACCCTTGGTGTCAAACCTTGGGGCCCTAAACCCTAAACCACTATATGTATAATAGGGTATATAATGGGGTTATTATATAGGGATAATGGAGATGAACATGGAAACTACTATTACCATTTATCAAACATGTCTCTAGTCTGGTTTAGGGTGTAGGATTACTTGTTGCAGGTTGGTCCGACATTGCTGCGGGGCAAGCCAAAGAGGCCCGTGGGGTGCTAGGTTCTACCCTCCCTCAGAACCTAGAATATAGGGATAGTCTAGGGATAATGGAAAAGAAAATGGAAACCACTATATTACAATAGGGTAATATGGGAATATATTGGGGTTATATAGGGATCATGGAAAAGAACATGAAAAAGTACTATTTTGGGTTTAGACTGTAGGGTTTAGGGTATAGGCCCAGGATCCCTCCTATACCCTAAACTCTAAACCCTAAATAGTAGTTTTCCATTTTCTTTTCCATTATCCCTATATAATCCATATATATAACCTTAATATATATTCCATAGTATACTATACAGTGGCTTCTGTTCTTGTGGGTTGGTTTTGCCATGTATTTGTTCAGGATTCTCATGCCTGTCTGAGAGCGGCGTGGAGCAGCAGTCTGAGGTTTCCAAGGGGTCAAAACAATTGGGGAAAAATATTTTTAAACAATTGGGGAAAAATATGTTTAAACAATTGGGGAAAAATATTTTTCCCCAATTGTTTAGTCTGAGGTTTCCAAGGGGTCTATAATATACTATACGCCATAGTGAATGTTAATGTACTATGATATACTTCTGCAGTGGATTCACGGCCTAGTTTACAGCTACTGGCAGCAGGACGTTACCACTTTACCAGCGGAAGGAAGAGCGATTAGGTGTAAGATTATAACAGCATGAGTGATGGTTACGGTATCTTGCTATGCGTAATCCATCCGCGCATTCTGTACAGTCTGAAGGGCGAACTGGTGACGTGGCTTTCATAACCAGT